TAATATTTATTTATTAATATTTTTAAAAATTATATTTTTTATTTTTATTTTTGTATATTTATTAAAAAAATAATTAATTTTTTCATTATAAAAATAATTTCTATATTATTTTTCTTTTTTCTTTCGTCTTTTCTATTTTTTTTTTTTAATTTAATTTTAAAATATAGAAAACGATTATTTTTTTATATTTTTCAAACAAATAGAATAAATTTTTATCTATATATTTTTTCATATTACTTTCTATTTTTTATTTAATTTTTTAATTAAATAAAAATGGTGTTATAATATTATTAAAAATATTAAAGTTAACTAAAAGAAATTTTAATAAATATTTTATTATTTATTAAATTTAATATCTATTTTTTTATATTTAAACCAATTATCCCGTTTGAATGTAAATAACTGTAAAATATTATCCTAAATATTTATAAATATGTATAAAATTATTGTAAAATTTTTTTTTGAATATTTTATTATTTGAGATTTATATATTTTATTTTTATAAAAAAAAAAATTCATTCATATTTAAAAACTATAATATACAAATTTTACATGTATATCTTTTTAGTAAAGTTTATATAAATAAAATTCATCTTTTAGTCATTAAATGAAATTAATTAAGCTAAATTTTAGATCAAAACTTTATATAAAAATAAAAAAATTATATTTATAACATAAAAACTTTAGATAAAAAACTTTTAATTAAAAATATAAATTATGTATATTATATAAAAAAAATTACAACTTTAGTATTTATAATTATTAAATTAATTTTTTTTTTTAAATAAAATGGAAATATATTTATTTAAATTTTTTAAAATTAATTTATATTATTTAACTAAATTATTTGTAATAAATTAATTCGTATAATTATTTTTTTATATCGTTTTTTATTATAGTACGGAAAACATTTTAGTTTTACTAAATTAGTTTATTTATTTAATATATATTTGATACCATTATAATATATTAATTGCTTTTTAAAACAATTTAATGAGACAAAAAACTTTAAATTAAACTATTCAGACATAATTTAATTAATTTAAGATTGAAAATTATATAATATAAACATTATATTATAGATTATTTTAAAAAAAAGGTTTATATTGAAGATAGAATGTCAATATATTTATTTTAATGATATAGTAAGACTTTGATAGAATCAGATTAAAATATAAAAGTATATATTAAATATCATAATTATAATATTTTATATTATTTAATATATAATATCATGCAAAAAAAAATATATATATATCTAATTTAAACTTATTTCATATATATTAAATTAAATATATCTTAAATTTAAATACTTATTTTTTTAAGCTTTTTTAGCATTTAACTTTACATGTATTTATATATTTAGTATAATAATTATTATTATATAAATATTTTATAATTTTTATAATTACAGCAAAATTTATAAAATTAAAACAATATTCAAATTTTTCAATAATAATAAAAGAGAAGAAAAAATTATATATATATTAAGAAAGAAACAAATAAATAAAAAAAAAATATATTTATAATTTAAATATAAAAAAAAAATTACAAATCAGAATATATCTAAAATACGTAAATTCAATAATTTTATGTCCTTAAAAATTATTAGCACTAGATAATAAAAACAATAATAATCTTAATAGTCATAATAATCTTAATAAAAGTACTAATTAAAATAGATCTATTTATAAAAAAATGCTAATAATGATGAAAATCATAGACATAAAAATAAAAAATAGCAAATACAAAATTAGTACTAACTAAACTTCTTAAAGTAATAAAATAAATTGAGTTTTTTTATCTTTTATGATAACTAATGCTAGTTGAGAATAGATTCTCAAAAGTAGGCTACTTCTAAAAAAATATATTAATGTTAATAATATAATAAGTTTTAAATTATATCCAACTTAAATTAAAACTAAGTTTTTTGTTGTAAATACAAATTAATTTCTACTTCAAATAACAATTCATTATATTAATAAAAGGATAGTCTTTTCTTTAATTATATGGATTACTTGCAAAAATTTTATCCAAACGATTAAAGATTTACTTCAGAGTTGCTAAAGACATTTTAAATACAACTAATGGAAGTAAGAGATTAAGATTCATTTCTATAATAAATAGAAAGTTATTTGGGAAATTTCTAAAATTCTTCTAATTTAATATAATTTTAATTTAAAATAATAAAAAAAATAATAAAATAATAAATACAGTTTAATAAAGAAAAAATTAGGCCAATAATTTAATAACTTCTATTTAAATTTAAAAGTTAGCATAAAAATACTTCAAAGCTTAACGTTCTTTCAAAGAAATGTAGAAAAATACTAAATTTCATAATTTGAATAAATCAATTATGAAAGTTATTTTAAATATTTTAAAATTAGACTTTTCTTCATTAATTAAATTACCTTAATCTGTTGTTTATTACTTTTAATAAATTAGCAATAAATTAATAATTAACTCTAAAAAAGAAAATAATAACATAAATGTTAAAAACTAGTATACTCATTCTCATTATAATATTTTATTTTTGTAAATTAACACTGAGAATTTAAATCAATTAAGAACATCAGAATCAGATTTTCATTTGCATAAATTAATACATGGTATAGATTTAAATGAAGATTTCTTAAATATTAAATTTTAATTATTAAAATTTAATTTTTATAAATATTATACGTACCTAATAATAAAATAGTTTTTAGAATTAAATAATACTGAAAACGATAACAAAATTGAATCTATAAGATCACTATACATTCATAAATTACTCGTTGGAATAAGCAAAATGAATTCTGGAAAGATAGTTCAAAGATTTTGAGCAGGAAATCATTATTATTCTAAATAATTAAAATATGATTTTTTCATGATATTTTTATAATTATATAATATAAAATAACTTTTTTTTAATATTTAAAAATTTAATATTTATCAAATATATTTATATTTTTTTTTAAATGTTTTATTTATTCTTTCAATGGATTACCTTCCTTTTAACTTATTTTTTATTTTTTGCTCTTTTATTTATTTGAATTTTATTATTATTAATTTATAATTATTGTATTTATTATAAGTAAATTTTTATATATATCTTTTTTAATTTAATTTATTATTATAATATTTTTAAATTATTAATTTTTGTTTTATACATATAAGAATTTTAAAGGTTTTAATAATAATATATTATTTTATGATTCTTTAAAATATAATTTATATGAATAATTTTGTAATTAAATTTAATTTAATATATAAAAAAATTAAAAAATACTAGTTATTAATAAATTATTAATTATAATTATATTTAATTATTTAATTAATTTATTGTATATAATATTTTTTTTAAAATATTTAATTAAATTTCATTTATAAAATGTTATTATTAAAAATTGTATATTCATTTATACAAAATTTTATATTTTATATAAATAAAAGAAGATTTAAACAAATTAATTTTTAAATAATAAATAATATATTAAAATAATCTATGGTTTTAATAAATACAAAAATATAAATATAATTTAATATATGTAATTAATATAAAAATATTTATAATTTATTATTCTTATTAATAAATTAATCAAAAAAAATTACAATAAAAATATAATATATGTATATATATATAAATATATATAATATTTATATAACTTTTAAATAATTAAAAAATTATTTTTATTTACTATAAATTTTAATATAAAATTAATATATTCTAATTATTTTTTTATATAATGATAAAAAAAATTTATAATCTCAATAGAATTCTTTTTTTATAAATAAGATTTTAAATAGATGTAAAAAAATATATTTAAGGATAAAATAACTTATAAATAATAACAATGATATTATTATAATGAAATAAATATAAATATAAATATAAATATAAATATATATATATATATATATATATATACACATATATATACACATATATACTTAATGCATATTTTAAAAAAATAAAATTTATTTATACATATTTTTATTTATATAATATATAAATTTATAGAAATAATTATTTATATTATTATCTTAATTAGCATGATATAATAATTAAAAAATTTATTGATATTTTTATTATTTTCTTTAATAATTGTCCATTTGTATTAGTTATATTTATAAATTTTATATTTATATTTAAGTAATACCATATTTATATAATTACATTTTATAGATTGATATAGTTATAAAATTTATAGTTTTTTTTAATTAATTGTAAAAATAATTTAATTCATATTTTATAATTTTATAATCAATAAATATATTTATAAATTTTTGCTAATATTTTTTGTAAATTTCATTTTTTGTATTATTATATAATTCAAAAAATAGATATTTGCTTTTATTTATTTTTATTTAAAATAAAAATATTATTTTTTTATTTTATTTGACTTTTATATTTTACTTTTTTCTGTAAATATATTAGAAAATAATTAGTTTTTAAATAACTTAACAGAATATATATTTATATAATTAATGATATTTATATATCATAATTTAAGATGTAATAAAACTTTAATTTTAAATATTTTTATAAACTTTTTTTCTAATTTATTTAAACTTTACTTTAAAAATATATCTATTAATTTTTTTTTTTAATAATATTAAATAATTTAATATAATTATATTATAACATAATATTTTATATATATTAAAATACTTTTTTTTTATATATTATTTTAAATCTTTTAATTACTTCATTTTTTATATTTTTTTTTTATTATTTTTATTTTTTATTTGATAATTTAAGTAATGTTTTAAAAGTCTATAAAACTATTTATATTTAATTATTATTTAAAATATGATAAATCAAATAATAGATTATTTTAAAATGTAATAGTAATAAAAATATAATTTAATCTTTAATAAATTGATTTCTTTTGTCCTAAATAATTATTTTAATTGAGATTAATTTATTAACTATATTTTTTTTAATATCTTTTTTTTCTCTAAAAAATTAATAATTTTATATTAATCTTAAAATAAATTGATTATAATTGCTTTACATAATTTAATATATATATGAAATTTATATTTTTTATATAAGTTTAAATAAAGTTAAATAAAAAATAATATATATAGAAATATTTTTCAACTGATTATTAAACGAAAATATAAATATAAAGGATAAGTTATATTTTCAAATTAAATTTAAAATAGAAATACATAATAATATTGTTATTCTGTAATCATTTCTTATATTAATTAATAATTTATTTGTTTAATTTCATAATTAAATGAATTATTTGTAAATTAAAAAAAATATATAATATAAAATATATATAAAAATAGAATAATTATAATATTTTTTTTAAAAAAAGTCATAAACTAAAAATGATAAATTGCTAAAATTAGCAAAGCTAAGAATATTAATCTAGTTTATAGACATATACTAATTTAGTTTAAGATAAAAGCATATAATAAGATACCGATATAAAACAAAACAATATAAACAATAATAGTAATATAGAAGAAACAAATTAAAACAAATAAAAAAACAATTAATATAATTCTTGTCTCAAAAGATATTAAAAAAAACCTAAGAATCAAATAGTTAATAAAGTATCAAAGTAAATATAATTTAATGAAAAATTAGTTGAAGTATAAATAGTTGAAAACTATAAAGAATATAATAAAATAGATGAACCTATAAGTTCAATTAAATGTAATTGTAATGTTTTTTGATATAAATTATTTAATAAACAAGCTATTTATTGTAAATACAATGAAAGGATAATTCTTTTCCAAATAATTTAAAAATATGTTATAATAATTATTAAAAATTTAAAAGCAAAATTATGAATTTAATGATAAAAAATTACAAATTATACAATTAAATTAAATTATATATTAAAAATAATTTATATATATATATATATATATTATTTATAACATAGTATTATTTTAAATCCATAAATAATAATTTATATAAATTATATTATTTATCATTATAAAAAATAATTGATAAAAATTATAAAATTATATTTATTTATAATAATTATCATTTAATTAATATATATATAATCGCAATATAATTATTTTTATATTTATATATATTTTATTTATTTTAATCTATAATCCATAATATTTATTTATTTAGTAAATTTATTTTATATATTATTTTTATATATTTCTAATTATTCTTTTTTTTATATTATTTTTAATATTTGATATATATTTTTCTTTATATTATTATATATGTTTCAAATATAATACATTAATTTTATATTCATTAAATATAAAAAACTTAATAAATTAATAATTTAAGATATTATAATAGTTATTTAATTTCAATTATATGTAAATTATATTAAATAAATGTTTAAATATACAATAGTCGTTTATTTAATTTTTATTTCGTATTTTTTTCTGAAAAATTAAATATATAAATATATTATTTTCAAAATATTAAAATATACAGATATAAATTTTATTTTTTATTATAAATAATATTTTTATATATTAAATTTTTAACAAATAAAACACAATTAATAATAATTACATAAACAAAAGGAAGTCTATAACATTTTTTATTTATTTAATCATATACCCAGAATTTAATAAAATGACTATAATATTAAAATAATATTATATTTGTTTAAAATTCCAAAATAAATTATATATTAAAATATATTTAATTATTTAGTTTTTTTAAAATGTATATTTATTTTTACGTTAATAATAATTTATTTTAATTATGAATTAATTTTATATTTTATTTTAATTTTTATTTTTATTTTATTTTTATATTTATTTTAAAAAGAGATTTTTATAATTATTAATATAAATAATTTTTATATATTATATAATATTTCTTGTTTTTAATTGAATATATTTTATTATTTTACTATTTTTATTTTATTTTATTTATAATTTTATATTTTTTAAAAATTTATTGTAGAAATTTAAAAAAAAAAAAATTATAAAACTTTATTATATTCGATACTTAAAAATTAAAAATAATACAAGTTTTATTTTTAAATATATATATTTATATTTATAAAATATATAATTATTTATAAATTTATTAATATTAAATATCAATAATAATTTTAATTATAATTCACTATTTTAAAAATAGCATATTAGGCCAAACAAAATTTTACATTTTCCTGCATTTTATTAAAATTCTTTACAAGATTTTGCATTATTTATCTTAAATTCATTTTGAGGACTTTTCTGGTAATAAAAATCAAACCATATTTTAGGTTAAATTATGTTCTATGCAAGAGTAGCTAAATATTCGTTTACTGAAAATGGTGGATATGCTTAAATATGAGGAGTGATAAATACAAGTAATTTAAGAAGCTGATAATTTCATTACTATATAGAAGTTTATTAATGCTATTAATTTTTATAAATTATTAATTCTTCTTTTTTTTGTTCAAATATATTAAAGTTATATTTATAAATTATTATCTTTAAATTCATTTATTCATTTATAATTGATTAATATTATTAAATAATATAAATATTACTTTTGTATAAATTATATTATACAAAGCAATTATTTTATTATTTTTATTTTTATTTCACATATAAAATATTTAATTCATTAAAAAAAAATGCAACGTCTTTTATTATTTTAAATTTGTCCTAATTTTTTATATTATATATATTTATATAAGTGACAAAAAATTTATATATAATATTTTATTTAACTTATTTTATAAGCTTATACATTGTTATATAAATAAGATATTTAATGTTAATAATTATGCTTAAATATTATTATTTTTTTTTAAAACAAAATATCCATATATTTAATTAAATAAAATTTATTTACTATTTAATTATTATTTGTGTTAAATAATTAATCTATATTAAAATTTCTTTAACATATTTTAATTTTTATTTATACATATAATAAACGAAAACCCAAAATTAATAAAAACAAAAAAAATATGTAATTATATAAATAAATTAATACTAAAGAAACTATAAGCTTTACTTATAAAAGCAAATTATTTTATATTACATAAATGACTTTAATATTAAAAACATTTAATAGAAACTTAAAATTTTCATTTTTTTTAATATTATGGAATTAAATATAATTAATAAGTATTCAAATAGATAATATATTTTAACTTATCCTTCTAAAAAAAAAGATACTTTTTTAGATAACTTTTAAAATGTAATTTTATATTCAAAAAAACCTTAATTAATATTCTAGAATTTTTAAATTAAAATACTTTTTGCGTTTTTCTTAAATACACTTTTAATTTTTTACATTTTATTGCGTTTTTTGCTTTGGCACACTGTAGATAGTAAAAAGTAAAAAACAAATTATAAGCAGATAGATTAAATTTTTTCGATGTTTTATCAAATATATTAATATTTATTATTAATTCCTTTTATACAATTAAGTTTGGATGGCATTTTAATAAGGAA